TCTGTTTTTTCCACATGAGACAAACTAGTTTGTGAATTTTTTAACAGCGAAAAGCAAAGCAAATTCTAAGAAAACAAAAAATTTCGAATATCATAAAAAAATGAGTGGTTAGTTTTCATAAATATGTGGCTATCTTTTTTATGCGTTCTGTAGAAGGTGTGTAAAGACTTTTTTGTAATTCTCTATGAAAGATCGATTGTTAAAAATAAATTTCCAGTGTTGCTCAAATACTATGTTAGTATATGGTATTTTGAACCCTAATGACCTGTATGAAATGGTACATTCTGGATCGTAAAAGGATGACGTCTTTTCAGCTTAAATGGTACGGCTTTCTTTTAATGCCATTCCTGGCGTTCTAGTGCGTAAAAAAAGTAAAGTATGTTTTTTACAATAATTTTTCGTTGTAGAGAAAATTAATTTTTTCGAACTTAATAGTAAAACGCTATGAAATGGGCTAGTCTTTGGCAATATGTTTCATATTTAAATATTTTTCATAGAAATTTCATCGGTACTTCCCTCTGATTCGATTTTAATAAATTTAGCTTGTGGTATCACAGAAGTGAAATTTTGATGAAAAAATATTTCAAAAACAACAACACCTAATCTTCTTCTAGGCATTCGAACGCTTACAATAGCATTTAAAAAGTAGTGTTTCATTTAAGCTGAAAAGACTTCATCTTTTTACGGTCCAGAGAAGCACCATTCATACAAGTCGCTAGAGTTCAAAATATTATCTATTTACATAGTATTTGAACAATACCGAATATTTATCTTTGACAATCAATTATTCATAGAGAATTACGAAAAAATCTTTACACACCTTCTACAGAATGAATAAAAAAAGATATTCATGTATCTATAAAAGTTATTCAGTATTTTTTTGAATAATTTTTGAAATTCTAGGTTCTGCCAGAATTTGCTTTGCTCTTCGCTTTCGAAAGAAAATCATAAACTAATGTCGGCGCCAGAATTAAAGAGAGGTTGGTGTAAATTGAATAATTCAACAACGGCAAGAGCTAGCGACCTGCGGTTTTCACCAATCAAACGAGAAGGAGTGGGGACGTCTTTTTCTCTCATAATGTATAAGACGAAATTCTTTTAAAACTAATCATATTTGAAAAACATGCAAAAGAACCGATGAAAATGACCTGCCAGCTAGATGAAATTTTGATTTTGAGCTTTAATTTAGATAGAGGACTTCAGATCTATAGTGCAAGACACAATGCGCTTTCTTACTTTTTCTTACATTTTCATCGAAATCTCAAGCTACTAGGATAAAAAGTGCGAAATCTTAGGAAAAAATCAACAAAATTCCCTCTTATTTGCGTATATAACTGCATGATTCCATTTGCTCAGCGTTAGAGTGTAACAAGATAACCATTTGCATTGTATCTTGAGCTATAGATCTGAAGTCCCTCTATCTAAATCAAAGCTCAAAATCAAAATTTCATCTAGCTGGCAGGTCATTTTCATGGGTTCATTTGCATGTTTTTCAAATATGATTAGTTTTAAAAGAATTTCATCTTATACATTATGAGAGAAAAAGACGTCTCCACTCCTCCTCTTTCGATTGGTGAAAACCGCAGGTCGCTAGCTCTTGCCGTTGTTGAATTATTCAATTTACACCAACCCCTCTTTAATTCTGGCGCCGACATCAGTTGAATCGCTGAAGAGAATCACCCCACGTCAAACAGCGACATCCTCGCAAACAGTGACAGTGGAACGCACACCAATTCTGCTGGATATATCTGATATTAATATCGGTTGTGCTTGTAAAGTATTATGTTCTACAGAAAGAGCTGAACATTCATTCGACAGTCCACGGTTTGGCAACGACGAGCATTACTCGTCTTATAGTAATGTCTAATAATGCAGCAAGATCTTTCAAGATTCTTATAATACGACTTAGCATAAGATTTCAGAGATAACGATTTTTTATACAATTTTATCTGGTGTTACAAGATCTTACGTCTGATTTTTCCACCTGGGATGACATAGGAAATACATTATGATTCAACTATCGGATCTGACTAGATCCGATAGGATTCGATCTTGGATTCAATCGATTGGGATGGAACTGACGCAGTTTTTTATCAACATGACTTTATTTCTTTTAATAATTACAGAACAATTGTTAATTTGAATTTCCTGCTCACATTCTATATTACTACATTGTTAACAAGGGCCGTAACTAACGTAGACTTTAGAAAAAAGTCATCACTTTCCTGGATGAAGATTGAAAGTCCTGAACTGACATTGTTCTTCACCTATGCGTACTGATTTGCTTTATCATTTATGTCACATACTAGTAATTACTTATGAGAACAATCAAATAGAAATTAAAAAAAAAACATATATTACTTTATCGATTTGTACACCGGTAAAAAAGCATCGATTTCGCAAGCAATATTCTCAGTCGTGTCTCATGAAAAAGTGATCTTGGTTTTAATTTCCAAATTCTATTTTAATTAAAGTGTATTTGCTGCTTTCTATGGTTTTCCTTATCTATGGCAATGGCAACAATCATCAGTGTAACAATTTTCTAACCATTCAGTCTCGATAAAAATAGACATACCACATGAATTTATTGATAACTGGAATTTTTGAATTCTGTGATTGTTGAAATCGCTCACAAACATGTTCCCAATTGTGTCGAAAGCCATTGTTTGTGGATAATTCAATTGATTTGATGTTGCTCCACTGTTGCCAGAGCATCCAACCAAACATTTGAAACCATTTGGAATTGATCGGATGATTCGATGATTTTGACTTTCCACAATAAATAGATAACCATCAGCATCGAGCACGATACCTGTTGGTCTATTCAGTATGAAAAGCACTGTTGCTCCAAAACCAGCCATTGTTATTGCATTTTTTTGATCCGGCGCGAAAAATTGAATCCTGTTATTGTCAGTATCAGCTACGTATAAGTTGAGTTGATTATCAACGAAGATTCCATGCGGATGATCCAGCATATTAGGCACAGGACCAGGACATCCTGTACCAGCCACTACAATTGGTGCGGTTTCCTGATTGTTGAGTGCCATCTTAATAATACGATGGTAATTCATCGAAGAACAATACAAATGGTAGTTAATGTCAATAAAGAGTCCGGTACACCAGCCCTTGACATTCATTGCAATCTCACTATGCGTTGCATTGAATGCCCATTTATCAACGCGATCATTGACGTTACCATTGTCGACATAAATGTTACCGTTGGTTGTGACAAAAAGACTCCATGAATTGGTCAAATTTCCCGATATTGATCTTGTCGGAGTCGACGATCCATTGTTCCATGTTAAAATCTGACCACTCTCTCGATTAGCGACATAGACGGCGTCTTCATTGTTGACGAAAATACCAGTAGGTTGTTGTCCAACCAAATTCTTATCAGCAAATGTCGTTGCATTTTCATTCCATGATGCACAGAAGCTGAGTTTCGGTAGGTTATACGAGACAGCTAAAAATCAAGCTCAAGTTTGTTGAGTACTGATGTCGAATACAATCCTTCTGAACAGTTCTTATTATCATAGATTCCTCTAATTTCTCTGTTTAATGATGATATTAATTTTATTATTGAAATGACTACATCATGCTTCGCAGTATAGCTCTGTTAGAATTGGTCTAAATATTTTGCTCTATTTCTTACATACGGTCATAGGCAATCGTATACTAATTAACTAAAACGGAAAGTGACAATCATTCTAGATGGCTGTTTAGGGAACTGTTATAATATTCATAACTTAGGTATTAAGATTTTCGGCATAGCTACTAAAATATTCACTTAATGAATTCCCCGGTACTGATATGCCGCTAAATTAGTGATTTTAAATGGATATACTTTAACGGGGTGGAAACATCGTAGAATAATAAACTTTTTTACGATTTATGAGATCTTCTTAAACTCTTTCGAAAACCCTCTAGAAAGGGTAAATGAAAAAATTTGTGACCTTCAAATACCACTCGTGAACGGCTCATGAAAATGTTTAGAATATTCATAAATGCTAAAAGACTAGCTAAATATTGTACTTTCATAAACGTTTTCAATTACCCTCCAAGTCCATAATCAAATGGATATACAGAAAGAAGAAGTCAATGCGAAGCTTAAAATAGGTTTCGAATTTTGCAACAAAATCGAAACCTTTTTTAAGTTATGTACAAGTGAAGATTCGTAAGAATACATTTTACTTCAATTCAAAAAGGATCCCGTAGTGGAGATTTCGTACACATTCCAATACAGCTTCATTACGCCTACACCAATCCGTTCGCCTCTACGTATACTAATATATCTATGTCTATTTTCTTGTATATACACATCTTCTCTTAATCTAGTCCTATCGCTGTCTCCTTCATCAATCCTCGTACATAGGTGCCTATATATCTATTTTAATACGTGTCCCTCTGTATTTTTATCGAGACCCCTAGGAAAGGGATGGCCCGTTTACAATTAATTTACATTAAGAATTAACTAATCACTTTATCATTAATACTAATAAAAACCGGGCAACGATCTACTTAATCGTTGATATAAAATTTAAGCCTTGTCTCTTCACATATAATTTACCAAAAATTAAGTGAATAACCGTCGTTCTTGGTGGTAATACTATTCAAATCAATTCTTCTCGTCAGAGAAGATGTATTTTGCAAGAGTAGTATCTTTTTTAAGGGAAAGTTGTCTAACAGCATAAAGCTTGAGGTTGTGAGGCCTAACAAAGAGCATGAACGAAATTCTGAAAAGCTCTATAGAGATTCAAATTCCTCGATTTCAAGAACTTCTAATCAATTTTTATTTTAAAAAACCGTTATTTTCACGAAATAGACTTCTCTGGCGAAGAAAAATTGAATGGAACCGTATCACCGTCACATAAACTAATTATGTTCCTAACTTTAAGTGAATGACACCCACACCCACACACACGCTCACTCAGACCCGTACCGACACTAAATTCACTAGAAATACTCTACTCTAGAGACATACAGGTATCGATTTGGATGCGCATTCTGACACTAACATATCTATAGAGTTAAGAACTTTTAGTGAATTTGGTGTAACGAGGTGGATACCTAACTCAATACTGACATATCTTCAGAGTTCAGGATATTGATGCAAGGCTCTGGAGGTAGGCCTTATATTGATATTCCAAGCCTCACACTCTGAAGCTGACATACCGACATCCACACATTCGCCCACACCTACACCATCGATATTCATATATGGATTTCGAGTTGGGTATCTAGTTCGCTGAATATCGTGACTTGTTATAAATGTATAGAATATAATGCAGTGAATTGATTGAAACTGCATTATAAGCTATTCTTGCTCGGCATATATCATTCAACTCTACATCTGACTAGTGTGATAAAACAATTCAGTATATCAGTAGCAGTCCAACGATTAAGATATAAGACTCTAGATGTGAAATACAGTTATAAGAATATAGGTTTTAGAATACAGATGAAAGGTTTTAATATTGGCCGCTGTTTTGGTTCATTACAGTCATGTACCGTTTTTTGAAATACTGAAGTGCGCTTGTAAAAGGCAGCATATACTACTGTGATGGTCAGCGTTACGACCATTTCGGTGATACGGATATCACTGTAAACTATGCACGTGTATCGCCGTATATGATATGACAACATAAGATCTCACTATTGCCCTACCAGAAAGGTTAATATACAGCTCATATACGGTTGAATGTTCGGTGTTTGTGCGTATTTACGTTATCATAAACGTCAATATATGACCGTTTACGATTATTATACTATTCGACCTACGTAACTCTGGTTGTTTTTGTTCTAATAACCCATGTCGTCTCTTTTTTTTTACAACTGCAAAATTTTGATCATAATTGCGCGGAACTGTGGCGCATTAATCGTACTGAAAATCGCTGTCAGCGACTACCGTTACTGCGACGCAGATAAGCGCAACTGCGCCACAGTACTCGAATCATATGTCCCAATGTATCTGATACATACCAATCATAAACAGTTTCGGCTTACTTGTAATTGGTCATGTTCTAGTGCTAAGATTTAGCTACACGGCGAGCGTATAAAAGGAAGCATTCGTGATAGTATGGTTCATATTTCATCCTTACACAATCAATATAGTATGCCGCCTCAATTCAATTTTTTGGAATGAAAATGCTGTTTACAAAGTTTTCGGAGATTACGAAATCGAATCCGACGTCAGATTTTTATTAAGTTTTTGATTTTAGTCTTTCTTATTTTAATCCTTTTATTAAAAATTTTTAAACAATTTTTCATTTTATTTTATTTTTTTGTGTTTTAACATTCTTTTAATTTTTTCATTCTAATTATTT